TGACCCCCCAGCCACAACTTGCAGCAGTGACATATTGTGTGTCTTCTCAGGTAAACTGAACTCTTCTCTAAACCGGAGTGTAAGCGGCTCCACTGGCCCCACCCCCAGCAGAGTCAGCAAACCAGCCAGTCATAGCAGACCACGGTGCTCCACTGTCTATGGTGCCATAGAGCCAACATCCTCCACCACCAGTCGCCGCTCACTGTCTGTCCAAGCCAGGAAGCTGTCTGAGCCGGAGCACGCTAAAGCTGCCAGGTCCACGTCACTGAAGAGAGCTGAGGCTACGCCCCTCCAGCCGACACCCACCAAGAGGGTTTTGGACAGAGCCGCCAACATCCCCACTGTCACCGCAGTGCAGCCGCAGACTGGGCTGAAGGCCAGACCCAAACCTGAGGCTGTGGTCCTGCCGATACTTAGCGGAGTAGGCAGAGGAGTCCAACAGGGAGACGGTGAGGGTGACTGATAATGGCAGGGCTGTCAGTGCAATATTAGTTCACTCAGTCTGCTCCTGCAGCCAGTCATCAGCTGCTCCACATGGTGGTGCTTTTGCAGATGCTTTGTGGGGAATGTTATCAAACCCTACTGCAAATTATCTTCAGGGGACCACCATTTTGCATCAGTTTAACTTTTCAACTTAACATGCTAATTACTAAGAACAGAGCTGTTAGCTATTTGGACATGTTGCAGTGTGTACAGTTCCATCCCGCTCTCCATATGTCGCACCTCTAAACAGGCACACCTGAAAACACGGTACTCAGCAAACATTTTAAGTACTTAAAGTAAGCAAGTCTTGTTCTTGAATATACTGGTTCATGACTCTGGCTGTGTGTTCGGTCTCACTGCCCTGCTGTAGAATGAACGTGCTCCCTGATGATGTTGTGTAATGGAAAATAACCCAAATATCAAGTGCCTTAGATTTTTGCATTGTTTTGTATTTTGCTTAAGGCCAGACACAATTTTCAATGGTGCTTCTTCTGTTTTATCTCAGTGTGGTTCTTGGGTACAAAAGGAAACTTATTTTGAGGTTGAGTGTCTCCATTGGTCTTTGTGTTTTGTCACCAGATGTCTCAAAGATGCTGAAGCCAAAACGACTGATGTCAGCGAAAAGAAAGGACAGGTATATGAAGGCACACTCCCATCTACACACTGCACCACTGTTACTGTAATCATGTGGTCAGCTGTACCTGTACACCTTCTGTGTGTATAAAAATATAGTAGATTTACTGACACTTCTTTGTTTGGAGCAGAAACAGTAACAATGTAGCGGTTTGATTATATAAGTGATAAAATCTTATGAAAGTACTGAGCAGGTACCATTCAGGATGAAATGAGCAATTTAAAGTAAATGTGTGCAGTGACTCCTCCACAGAAAAGCCACTGTTGCCATTCATCCTTTTCACTGCTCTTGTAGATTCCTTGCATATGAATAAAATCTTTAAGTTGCTCATAGTCCTCCAGCAGAAGCTTTCACTCTGCTGCAGGGACAGACAGTTCTCTTACTTTGGACATCTGCATGTAGCCGATGAAAACACAGTAAGTTTTTGACAGCTAATTGATGTCATCAGTAAACACCCCCTTCTCCTGCAGTCTTCCTCAGAAGCCCGCTGCTGGTCCTCTGACGCCCTCTGCAGGTGACGTCAGGTTGCTGCAGGTGAAGATGCGGCGTCCCTCTGCCCTCCCCACGCCAGTGAGGCACAAGGCCTGTGCTGTCCCCTCACCTGGCAACCAGGCCCGGCTCGCCAAGCTGCTGCCCACCTCTGACCCTTACCCTGATCCCAGCTCCGCTTCGCCCAGGAGAGAGGGCAGCTCTAGGTGAGATGCTTAAAGCTGCGGTCAACTAATAGGAAAGCTTCACTGACCTTTGTTTAACTTACAGCTTTGTGGACTGCTGTCGTAAGCTGCTAGCTTCTGAGTGCACGCCACACTTGTGTACCATCTGTAGGCTTGTGACTGTGCACGGAAGTGCTCAGGAACACAGATATGGGTGTTGGCACAGCCGGTCACTCTGTTTATCAGTGTTTGTTTGTTTGTTTTTCCCCTGTGTAGCTCCACCCCCATAGACACACAGGAGGTGGAGCCAGTTGACATCCCTGGCATCCAGCCCTTCTGTCTGGAGGTGGAGGAAATGACACTCCCTGCTGCCCCGCCCAGCAGTGCCCCACAGCCTGACCAATCAGAGAGCACAGATTCTGGAGCAACGAGTGAGGACCAGTCAGAGCCCAGTAGAAACCTGATCGAACTGGAGAGTGCAGAGGAGATCACCAGCAAGACGCAGGAGGTCAGAGGTCACATGCAGCTAAGTTTGTGTGACATCCACTTTTATCCTCTGCCCATGTCTATGAGCGAGTACATAGTGCTACTGGAGAATTTTCATATCCTGTCACTGTTTAATTTAAAGACAGGCTGTGTAAGTGTATTAGTAGTTTCTCAGCAGAACTGAGATGTATCTGGATGTTAATCATGACATTAATGTTCATGACAAAGAGTTTTTGGTCTTGTTTATTAACTGGTGAACCTTCAAATGTTAGTTTGATATCCCGAACCTGTCCAACCACCTCTCTCCAGGTTCTCCTGTTGGATCTTCCAGCTCCAACTCTGCAGCCTCAAGAGAAACTGCTCATCGACTTGACCAACACCCCCAACCTGATCCGCACCAGCAGCAAGACCCACCCAACAACTCAGGTAACAGACACGTCACCTGGTTATGTAACAATACTAAAGCATTGGTATGTCCAAAAGTATGTGGACAGCCCTGCCTGTGTCCTTCAGTGTACCTTTTGTCTATGACTATCAAACAAAATCCCTTAAAGCAGTTAGTTGATATATGAAATGACAATGTGAGAGGGTTTTGTTCATAATAATGAACCTGCAGAGAATGATAATCTGAATCTGCAGCTGAGTTTCACTCAGTGTTTAGTGTCTGGACCTCAACTGTTTTAGTTCTCACTCACTGCTAATAGCGTGGTTTTGAGGCTTGAAGATGCTCTAACAAGCTGCTGTCCACGACCTGCTCAGCAGCAAATGGCAGACAGACGCAGAGACCAGCTGGCGAACACAGTGGAACATTTAGTGGCTATAGAGCCAGGGATTTGCCTGAGGAGGTGGTGGAGACCTAAAAGAGAGGGAACACAGGGCTGGATTCATCATTTCCTGCTCACATGGCAAAAAATCTCAAGTCTATACCTTTTTTAAAACTGAATAAATTGACCTATTATGACTCTGTTAAGATGCTTTAAGGGGGTAAATAAGGAATAAAATGGCCTTCATTTATAAATTAAGGTGAATTAAATCCATCAACTGATGTTTTTGGGAGTTAAAGAAGAAGCTCTGTTTGAAAGTGCAGTTCTGCGCCAACAGTTTGCCTGGACACACACTTCAGTGTATGTTTGTCTATTAAAACGTGAGGAGAACTTTAAATAAAGACAGTTTTTTGTTGTTTTTCCCACCTGTTTTATTGGAGCAGCTGATCGACCTGAGCTCTCCGCTCATCAAGTGGAGTCCAGAGGACAAGAAAGAGAACACTCTGCTCATCAACCTGTCCTTCTGATCCAGATCCTCCTGAAGACCTGGACCTGACAGTGTCCACAGTAAACCAGACTCATCAAGGTTCCATCTTCACAAACTGGAATATTAATTCAGTTAACATTTGACTTAAGTCTTTACTGAATTAGTGTATTATGTTTTAAATGATGAAAATATTCATAGGTTGCTGAAGTTCTTCACCTGATTGTACTTTTAATTTTTTGTCGCTGCTCTAATTAATATCTGAATAAATGTTGTTACTGTCACGAGTGTGAGCGTTGACACTCCTGTGTGTCCATGTGCTGTTCAGTCTATCGACGTGGAAACCTGACTGGTAACCAGACTAGAAGAAGAAGTCATGTAAAACAAATTCTGTAAAGTGTAACAGCTTGTTAAGATTATATAAATCACGGAAAAAGAAGTCTAGCGTGTTGATGCCTGATCCAGGCGGGGTGGAAGGCTGGCCCTCAGACGGTGCCATTGGGATATTGGGTTAATAACACATTTTCAGACAGTCTCTCCTGGGTTAACCCTAACCCTTTCATTTTGTTGCATTTGGTTTTTCACCTGATTGTGTAAAAAAGGACCTAGTGTGTGAAGGTCAAACCCCTGCAGACCAGCCAAACATGGCTGTGGTGGTTGGATTGTTGATTTGGAAAGCTGCAAAAACTGCCTGAAAAATCTTTGTTTGCCTGAGGTATTGGTTCATCGGTGGAAAAAATAAAACACTGAAATATCCCATTTACATCAGTATTCAGACCCTTTGCTTAGGACGTGGTTAAAGCACATTGGGCAAGTCTTCTTGAGAATGAAGCTGCACGCTCAGCACCTTTCTGTTGGAAATTTCTTCCATTCTTCTTGACAGAATTGTTTATGGTCAGCCAGTTTGGATGGGGAGCGGTGGTGCACGGCCATGTTCAGGTCTCTCCAGAGGTGTTCTGCTGGGTTCAGGTCCGGACTCTGGCCGGGCCACTCCTGTGTTTTCTTGGCGTGTGCTTCGGGTTGTTGTCTTGAAATGTAAATCTTCGCCCCAGCCTGAGATCCTGAGCACTCTGGGGAAGGTTTTCAATCTAAATTGCTCAGTGTTTTTCTGCATCCATCCTTCCCTCTGTCCTGACGAGTCTCCCAGTCCCAGTTGCAGAAGTCTCCCCAGAAGTTTGCAGATATACTGACGTGTATAAACAGGTGCAGCAGCATGACCCAGGTGTTAACACTACACTAGCAGGTTGTAACATGGCTTTGCTGAAGTACACGCTCAGTCTCCTGATCTTCCATGTGGGCTCTGACTGTTCTCGGGCTGAAGAGCAGGTCCTGTAATATCTTTGCATTAAGATTTTGGACATAGCGAGACTTAAAATTAAGGTTAAAAACAAGGATTAAATTTGTGCTTTCTTGTTTACTTCCTGTTTTTGATGTCTGGGAAATTATCTCAATCTCTTCTTTGTCGGTGTATTTAAATAATTACTCATGACTAATGTAAATCTTGTTGATCTAGGATCTGTTGTCTGAGCTGCTGTGGAGGGCCAACAAGGATGTGGGTAAGACACTGTACATGTCGTTGTGTTTGTTTAGTTTTGCATTACTACCAGAAGGATGCAGTGATGTGAGTCATAAGTCTGGACACACCTGTGCTGGAGCCATTCTGCATGGTTTGAGACTTCTGAACATCCTGTTGGCATCGATGTATTGGTGAAAAGAAGATATGTAGAAGCAAAAGTAGGCCTTTTTTTTGTCTGTCACACAACACTGTCAGTCTAATAGTTTATTAATATTTTGTTATAACATGTAGCTAAAATGGAAATAAGAATAAAACACAACAGAAATACATAACAGGAGCAGCACATTTTCATTGTAAAATTGTGGGAATATTTTTATTCATGTTTTTTGCTTTATATACTGACAATTCAAAAATGTGCCCAATCTTCTTAAAGTAATGCTTTAAAAAAAAAGATTCTGATTCATTTGAACCACTCAGCAAAATCAGCTTTTCTCAAATTTTCCCATAAAAAAAAAAAAAAAATCTAATTTTCTTTCCTCTTAGTTTGATCTTGTTTTTGTCCCAGTGAAATTCAAACTGAAAAGCAGCATCAAGACAAATGCTGCACATTAAAGCTGCATATGCTCATAAACATCTATGTGCATGTGACTACATGTGTGTGTTCCCAGCTTCTCGAATGTGGGCTGCAGTCCTTCACCACCACTCTCGCACCCACTTTATCCAGCGGACCAGCCAGAGACTAGCTGAGAATCTAGTCCAGCCACAGGTCATAATTAGTGTGTTTGTTGTGTAGGTGGAAACCACAAGCAGCTTATTTGTGCATTGTACATGACAAGATGATTGACATTAATTATTGTCAGGTGTCACAAATTAAATCTTTGATCAAACTGTGCCCTTAAGCCTCTTGAACCGCAATGTTTTCTCTTGGATGTTACTTTTGCATTAAAAATATCTTTGCACGGTAACGCCATGTTCTTATGTCTGCACCCTAATGTCAACAGAGAAATATTCTAGATGTGCTGTGCTGTAGTTTAGACAGGTCCCCCCACATTTAGACACATCTGGGATCTCTAAAAACCTGGATTCAAGAAGAATTTAATATGAACTTATGTGGGCTTGAATAACTTTAATTGCAGTGTTGCAGTGAAGCACATGAAACAAATTTTAATGAATTGAACATTTGGGCCTTCATAAAATAATGTTTCCTTATACCCTCATCTTATAATACCAGTACAAACTGTTTGTACAATGAGCTAAATAAAGTGAGAACTACTATAAGACGGGACTCTACTATTACAAAAAAAAGCATAAAGCATCACTTGTATAAACCTATAAGCTCACTTCAACCATTGTATATATTACAAAAAAGAGCGATAAGAATTGTGCATAAGATGGGATACAGGGATCACACCAATGTAGCTTTCATACAGTCTAAATTGTTAAATTTTTTTGATTTAGTGGGATATAAGACTGCAGTGTTTATGTATAAAGCCAGGAACAATTTATTACCTGGTGGAATTCAAAAACTATTTAATGAAAGGGAAGGGGGATACAATTTAAGGGGTCAGTTAAATTTAAAAATTCATGCTATACGTACAACCAAAAAAAGATTTTATATTTCTATAAGTGGGGTAAAACTATGGAATAACTTAAGTGTAGACATAAAAAACAGTACTAGAATTGACAAGTTTAAACATAAATATAAAGGTATGTGTCAATCAAGATATATGCAAGAACAGGCTCAATGATTAATTA